TTGTTACACCAAAGGTCGAGCGACTTGAGCCAGCTAGCACACCACAGAGCGCAATAAAAGATGGCATAAAAAACTAAAACAACAATATTGTCTTAAATAGTAACCCGATTCCGAGATGGCGCCTAAATGTCGTACAACATCTCTAGATGCGCTTCGTCAGGGCGCGCTTTCGTGAGGCGGGCTAACTACTTAACAACGAACTTGAAAACCTAACGCGAAGCTTATATATTCTGTAAGTATTGATGAGATGCGGTCCTGAATGGACTTTGCTCATGATATAGTTGCCTTCCGCCGACACCTGCTGTGAGCATGTGGGAGAACCACATGCGCCATTATTTTTAAAATTATGGAAGCGTTAAAAACTTACTCCAGACTATGAATCTCGGCCTGTATTAAGGGGAGCAGCGATGAAAGGTTTCGGAGTCATGCTGTTGGTCACCACTACTTCGACGACCTGGACGCGATGCCTGCCCATACACCCGCCAACCCGAATACAGCAGTCGTTACTTTCTGCGTCTTTTTATTTCTTTGAATATGTATTTATCGCGTGGCGTTTGGCGGATTTCGTTTGATTCGTCGTTTCTGGGCTCAAAGACGACAACTAGTATTGCATCGCGCTTTCCATGGCATATACTTGACAGGCTCAGACGAGGGCGGGAAGCTGTACACATACAACATGGTGGATTACCTTGGCCTATGCCTGACGGCTTGGGGCGGCGATGGGAGCTCAGAACCAAGCATTTTCTGGGCGAATTGCAGCGGCGACAGCGCACAGGAAGTGGCCGTGTACGTGAATCCCCATAATACCAGCAGGTTCGTTGCTTGTCCGTTGGCTGCTTGTTCTTTGACTGGTTGTCTGTGCTGGGCAGCAAACGACTTTGTGCAGCGTTGCAACTAACGGCTACTGCAACTAACGGCTATTCAGCTACGAACGGCTGCTGCAACCGGGTCAGTTCAGTAGGTCTAGGCATGCACTGACAGCGAGAACGGCTCTCGTGGGTACGGTGACCCTGCATACCCTAGGGCTGGGTTCCTGTAATAACAATTAATTAAGATATCTCGTTATTAGATGTTCGATCAGTGGAGCGCGTGCTGATAACTGACTTGATCACATGCTTATTTAGGCCACCTTCTTTCCCGCGCACACGCGTACAGCTGTCTGCGTGGTTCGTCCTTCTCGTTTGCAAGTTCCCAACTCATCCTTACATCCTTACCCACGGCCTATCTGGCACACATAAGCTATGCAACTGACTTGTAACCTGCATAATCCATGCAGCTCCGCGTACCGGATCGCGCCGTGGCTGTTGGTGAATAAGAACCGCGCCAGCTGGCTATGCCTCCGAGCACCCGCTCTTGCCGGCTTGGACGGCAATGAGCTAGCACCATTCACCTTGGCGCCGTGCGATGACGACGACAAGCTGCAAAGCTTGGAGCTCGCAGCAATGCCACCGGCATTGTTGTTTCGTGCTGAGTGGTACAGCGGCCCGAGTGAGTGCCTACGTACACGCTTTGGCGGATATTGCATCGACGGGGCTGTTATACCACCTGCTCGCTTCGTAATAATATGTATTGCTGCCGTAATGGCTTTACACGTACGGCATGTCGGTAAAATAATTTACGGTCTATATACAAAGAACCATCGTATATTAGACCGGATCGAGAAATAGATCGTACATAGATTTTCATTGTATAGAATGGTTTACAGGTCGTGCCATGTTTTTTTTATAATAGATACGTAGGCCTGCTAAAATTAGGTGGTCTATAGACATGTTATCCTCAATTTTGCAGACACGACCACGCTCGTTACTACTGCTGCCGTGCAGATGTTAGCACAGCGGACTTGGATCTCGTGGTAACCTGGAAGGATCTGGATTCTGGACTTTGGTACAGCATCAGTGCTGCCAACCCGAACACCCACGGTGGTCTGCACAATGTCGATAACGCCAAGGCGCAGCCTCTGGCCACCAACTTTGAGGAAGTGTACTGGCCATATGAACAACAACCAGACGTTTCAACGTACTATGTATGCGTCCGCCCCAAAGTCGTGCTGCAGTCCATTCTGCGTGTCGTACTTTACATAAAGACAGTCGGTGTCGAGCGGTTACACATCGAGCGCAAAAACATGGCGTTTTCAGCGTTGCAGTATGATGAGGTCGTTAGTTCATATTGTGACAACGGTCAGAAGGGCTATCTGGCATCGTTCGAATATATCCTACCGCCACCGCCGCCATCGCCATTCCCACCACCTCACTTCCCTCCAGACATCCCGTGGCCTGGCTACTCTTTTCCTGTGTCACCAGAAGGGATTGAACCGGGGATCCCAGAGCCGCCATTATCAATTCCGCAGGGGCAAGAGCAGCCGCCTCCACCGCCACTGCTACCAGATCTTCCACCGCCGCCTCCACCACCACCACCGTCACTACCACCCAACCTTCCATCAACGCCACCACCGCCGCCTCCACCACCACCACCGTCACTACCGCCCAACCTTCCATCAACGCCACCACCGCCGTCACCTCCACCACCGCCACTACCGCCCAACCTTCCATCGCCGCCACCACCGCCACCACCGCCACCACCACCACCACCGCCACTACCGCCCAACCTTCCATCAACGCCACCACCTCCACCACCTCCACCACCGCCCAACCTTCCATCGCCGCCACCACCGCCACCACCGCCACCAC